TAGGAAGAAAATTAACTCTATCCCAGCGAAAACCAGGACAGAGGGCTACACACTTCTGGGCACACTGGGCTGCTGCACAATGTCAGCAGCCTCCTCACGGCAGTGAGAGCTCCTGTGGCTGACCGACCGCGATCCTTAGTGGTCTCTTTGGAAAACACCTCCCAAGTTACACTCTGGACTATTTTCCCCCTCCCAATATTTATTATTTCAGACCATCTAAAATAGTGTTCTAATATCTTTAAAGAAGCAAGTTCTTCAAATTCATTAAAATAACAGAAGTTATGTTTTCTCCTTCCACAGAGCTGGACTGGTGAATTACTCTGTTCCCCTGGAACTCACAAAATACCTAACAAGAGAAGCTGACTATTTACCTTGGAATAGAGTTATATCATCTGTAACTTACCTTGCAAACATGCTTGAAGATGATACGAATGTCTATCCCCTGTTTCAGGTGATGAAGCAAAAAAAAAAAAAATTGCTGCATGGGACCACTGGATCTGACAGTTCAGGATCTGCAACAGCAATAATATTGAAGTTCAAGTGATTTTCAGTGTTGCTGAGTTATCAGCATTTACTTTTTGTTACTGTATTCTTAAGAAAGGTGCTGAAAACCGCTTAGTACTGATCTCTGAATTACCTAGATTCTCAATGCAGGACTATGCACTTGGACAAAAAACTTATGCCTAATTATTCTAATAATCCATCACCATAAATCACAGTACAGACATTTGTTAGTCAAGGCTGTCCTGCATCCAGTAAAGAAGTATGTATAGGGCAGCAAAATCTCTGACACCTGTCCTCAGCACGAAGGATGGCTATATCTCAGTGTGGCAGTGAGCAGTTTTGTTAGTTGACCTAACATGCTGAACATGATTTAATGGTCACTAAAATGAGTATGTCCTGAACTCAGCATTATCTCTGGAAAAGAGTTGCGGCAGTGTGTTCTTGCTGTACCCCAACCTTCATTTGGGAGGCACAGACAAGACTGGAGAGAAGCAGGTTGCCTTTGCCCTAGCTGCACATCAGTAATGCAAGCATTCAGACTTGGCATGCTGTGGTGATCTGGAAAGATTGTGCATGTACATGTTTTTGTTTAAGAGATGCTAATTCTGGGAAAAATGAAGGAGAATAAACTATGAACACAAATATATTACTATTTAAAGAAATCTACACAAGTAACCAACCCCCTTTTTCTGCCTCAGAAATATTTCAGCGACCTGGTAAAACCCATTGTGGATCAACTGCAGTGGAATGATTCTGGAGGCCATTTGGAGAGGTTGAACAATCTTTTTTTTTCCTTCTCATGTTACTGATGGATTCAAGGAATGCTAAGCAGTATGAAAATATCTCTCTCTCCCTCTCTTTTAAAGGCTTCTTCGTGCATCTGTTCTAGACTTTGCCTGCAGTATGGGTGACAACGCATCTTTAAACAGCGCTTCTCAACTATTTGAGCAATGGCTACAAGGAAAAATGTGAGTGCTCACAGCTTTCATGGCTGGTGAAGGACACAGAATGTGACGTGGTCACAGATCTTAAGCAGGAAAGGGGAAAGAACATTCAAGTACTGTTTCTTTATTTTAGTATTCCTGCAAATCTCCGACTCCTGGTATATCGCTATGGAATGCAGAACTCAGGCAATGAGTCATCATGGAATTACATGTTCAAGAAATACCAAGAAACTTCATTAGCACAAGAAAAAGAAAAGCTGCTGTATGGCCTGGCATCAGTGAAGAACATCACCCTTTTGGACAGGTGATTTAAACACACAAAGATATTTCTTTCTCTACAGAAGCAACTGGTCACTGTTTGCTCATTCCCCTCTCCTCTCTCCTGTGTTGTCATTTTTGTCAGATTACAGCATGAGGAATGCAACACATTTGAAAGACCAGCTATCTAACACCCCCCTCTGAGATTGTACTATAGTAGAAAAAAAACCTTGCTCCTTTAGTGGAAAGATATTGAACACTTGGTAGTTTCTGCACAGCCTTCAGCTCTTCCAACAGTGGCTTCACCCCGTGTAATTTTAGCTGCCTAATAGTTAAGCATCAGGAGAAAATTAGTTTTCTATGATTCCTCTATAATCAGTGAAGGGAGGCAGGACCTCCAGAGCAATGTTAATCCCAGACCGGGAAAGGGACTTAAAATCAATGGGAAGAATTGCTTTTGGGTGTTGCCACTCACTCTCCATTGGCTACAGAGGGAGTTTGCTTAGACTAGATGTCTACCTCCTAAATAGCCAAAATTAGGCAAGCAACCTTGAGCAATTGTTACTAACAGTCCTATGAAGGCATCCATGTGAAGTCACTATGCTCCTTGAAGTGCTGTGTAGCTGTACTTGAGCGAGAACCAGAAATGATGTATTCATGCCACCATGGCAGTGATGGGGAGTCTGGATACTGCCCAAGGCTCATCCAGCTGTCAGTCTGGGTGAGCATCTTCCCAGGCTGCCGCTCTGCATAGACACACCAGCTCCTTTAAGCTTATCTGATAACTTTGCATGTAGTTGTATCATGCAGCACAGATGCAGGCAAACATCTTCACCAGGGGCATTCACCACTTTGTTGGAACCCTATGTAAATATCCTAAGATGGAGCAGCCTCTGCCTGGAAGAGTTCCAAGTTTAAACAAGATGAAACAAGGAAGTATAGGAGGTTCAGGAAGAGTAAATTAGTTAGAGTAATTAAAATAGTGGTAAGAAGCAGCTGTATTCCTAAATTCTGGTAACCACAACAGCCAAAATCTAAAGCCATTCAATAGCTAATTGCTGACATGATTAAGACGTGAATTAATTAGCTAGATCAGCCTATATTTGCAGAAAATAAAAAATCCCCCATAAAGCAGGGAGAACTTGTCTCTTAATTTACTATTAAACTAACAAGGAAGGGGAAAAGAGCAAACAGATTGAGAAAATTGTCCCCTACATATAGGAAAAAAGAAGACAATCTTTCATCTCAGCACACAACGGCTTAAGGGTGTTCTTCTGCAGCTGCTGCTGTGAAGCCATGACCACGCTACTCACCTCCCTGCAAATGTGTGTGCTGAGGAATCCCTCCACTCTGTCAGTCAAAATCATTTTGCTCTAACTGGAAGTATAACTACAGCACTTGCAGGCATGCTACACCCAAATGAATTTTAATTTTATATGGATAAGAGTTTCAGAACAAACAAATTACAGTGTGTGCAAGCCACCTCTGTGTGTACTCATGGTCCCTATAAGATCTTTATAGCTTGGACTACTACTTCTTTGGTGCTTGCCTGCCCAAACAGGCTTGCCTACTGACTGATCCAATCTTGTTTTCACTACTTGATTAAAATATAGGAATAATAATAGGTTTGGGCTATTTTCAAGTAACTTAGAGACATAAGCCCTACTTACTTTCTAAAGAAATGCCTAACTGCTTAGATTTCTTTCAATACAATTATCTCTTGACACAGTTATCAACAGATGCTTATGGTTTAGATCAGTGTACTTCACCTTTAAAATGCTGTAGATAAAAACAATAATCTTGCTTGGAAATGGGCTGTAGACTGTGGCAGGAAATACTTGAGAAATATAGAAAATAGCACTGCATTATTTCTCATCATCATCAGTTAAGTCTACACCAAGTGTTAACTTATTATTTGTTTTCCATGGTCTTTCATGAAAGGCTTTCATTGATTCTTATGACATTTCCCTTAGGTACCTGAAATATATTTACAACACCAGCCTCATCAAAACCCAAGATGTGGTCACAATCCTGAGATACATCTCGTATAACACCTATGGGAAAACAATGGCCTGGGACTGGATACGACTTAACTGGCAGTATTTAGTTGACAGGTATGCTAATGAACTTGTTGGAAGCTTTAGGTCTACATCCATCTGTATATCTTGTTACACATACTTTTCTCTATTTTCACTATACAGCTATAATCACTGGACTTTGCAAAACGAAAACTGAAGGCATATTCAATGCAATTACATCCATCTGCTGTGAAAAAGTACTTTGCTGCTAACTTTCCCTAAATGATCACTACCAATAAATGGTGATTAAAAAGTATAGAAAATTCTACCATAGAAGGCCATAGAAATCTGGTTATTGCATGGAAATTAGTTAGTCATGTCTCCATTCTTTCTATTGATTTCATAACAAGAAGACAGTGTATAGAATTTTTTTTAATTCCTTCTAGTGGTAACAGCAAGCAGCAGACGTACAGACGAGCAGTGGAAGTAATAGCAAACCTTTTAGCTTTGCTCCTCCCTATTTGAGTGACTTCTCTCTCCTTTCTTCTCCTTTCCAAGTGCTTGGTAAGGGCACAGAAGCAAAGCACACCTGCAAGCCTAGAGCTGTGAACTGGACAGCATTTGTCTTGCTGAGCAGCAATACACCTAATTTCCAGCATAAGACAATAAGTCATTAAATTAAAAGTCCCCCAGAAGAGATCACTTAGTAAACACATTTGAGAACAGCACAGATATTGTATAGGAGTACTATTTTTCAAGTATTTCCAAAAATGCTGAAATCGGAGTGCATCTGGTTTATTGTAGCACAGTTAGAATTTTAAGCTTCAGATAATTACTTGTGCCTTTTCTTTTTTAACAGTTTTGCATCCAACATCATTTATTAAATTGTTTTTCTAGATTCACTATCAATGACAGAAACCTTGGTCGAATAGTAACTATTACCCAAACCTTCAACACTGAGCTGCAGCTTTGGCAGGTATGGTGACAGCACTTCTCTTGGTTTTAAGTCAATATATTTAACAATCTACTGGCCAGGAAACTTGACTTCTTATACTCTAAATGTGTAAAGCAGTATGAGTTACTGTAAAACTACCCCAGTGCTACTAGCCTGAGCTTAAATATCTCTCCCAGCCAAAACTGCCCTTGACCAGGTCCCTGTAAAAAGCTACTTGCCCAATAGCAGCGTTATTTGCTTCATGTCAATTCTTTTTTTCTCTCTTTTCCAGATGGAAAATTTCTTTGAGAAATATCCTAATGCTGGGGCAGGAGAATTGTCCAGGAGTCAGTCAATTGAGCAGGTGAAGAACAACATTGAATGGCTAAAAGTAAACAAGGAGGAAATACAAACATGGCTAGCAACACACAAAGTCGCTTAAAGTCTTACTTTGTTAAAAATACCAGGCACTCATTCTGGGCACTCAGATCCTCAAAGATATTTAGTAATGTGGATTTCTCACCTAGGTACCTTAGAGGACCAAGGCCTAATATTTTTTTCCTACAGACTCTCAGGAGACCACTGCCAGAGCAATGTTTGTGTAGTTGCTGATCCCAGATCCTGACAGCACTTGTGTGCAGGAATAGCTTTATATTTTGAGAGATTAATTTGCCTGAACAAACAGGACAAATGTTTAAAGTTACATAAGGCAGAAGTGATGGCAGAACTGGGGTCCTGGCTGGTCAAGCTGGTCTCACTCCTTCCGCATACCACTCTGCAAAGCTACTTCTTGGTTCACAGAAGGGTATCTACTGCACTCAGGGATTCCTTTCCAGGTGCACCTCATAGGAGCTTTCTCCTGAAGGAAAGGGAATTCAGCAATAATTTTAACATTGTCTGAAAATCATCCTCTATGTTTATATCTGTAAAAATTCTACATTTGGGATTTAGCTTTGCATTCTGATACTACAGAAAGGCCAGTTAAGCTTCCCTCTCCATTGATTTTTGAAGTTTAACTACCAGTACACAAGGGATCAATATTATCAGCTTGTGTTTCAATGTTATTAGTTGGGATTCTGTAGCTTGGGGTAGGGGTTGTCTTGATTATTTTTGTCTGTTTCTAAGTCTTCTCAAAAGAAGAACTTGTGGCAACCATTACTGCAAACAAGACATACAGTACTTACTGTCTCTTTTCTTAGGGAAAAATAAAATTAAAAAATCTACCTGGAAATCTCAGTCTCTTTCTAATAAAGTGGTAAAACTGCCTGGCATATAGAAAAGCAGCTGTTACATGCTGTACATATAGCTTCAGTGACTTTTGAGGGGGGAAAATCTATTATCTCCACTGAGAAAATACAAAAAAAATTGGCAAATTAAGGCAGAGGGGGCAGACGTGCTGCTGCAATTTGGTCTACTGCAGAAGTACAGGCAGCAAAGAAATCACTCTCAGTCCTGAGTCCCTCTGTCACTATGATGCTGGAGAAGGCAGAGGGGCCACTCTGCCTGCCCCCCTGAAGCTGGAAGCTGGGGTGCCTTGGACACCATACAGGCAGCAGACGTGAGCATCACCCCCATCCTCCTTGCCTTCTCCCTGGTCTCGTCAGCAGAAAGGCGCAGCAGAAGGGAACCAGCCAGAGCTGGTCCCCGTCCAGATGCCCTGGGAGCAGGACCACAGAGCATCTCACAGTAGGTAGCCCTGGGAGAGATTAGGCACAGCTGTCAGGAAAATCTTCAGTGAGATGGGAGGACAGAAATACGGAAAAGCACTTCTCTTCCCTTCATCCTGCAATGCTGTTCAAAGGGAAAGCTAGAGATGTTGAGGAGAAGGCTCTAACGTACAGAAATCCTGGGGTACCGGCTCTGCCTGCCCTCTGGGCACAGAGGGCTCCAGAGAAGCTTGTACAGTCCCAGATGGAAACACTTCACCCTGCTTGCCCAGGAGATTCAGGGCTGGTACAGTTTTGGGCCTCTCCCTAGATGCCCAAATAGCTGCAACAAGCCCAGATAAATCTGGTGACCAAGTCAGTTGTCCTGTCAAAGGAAAATGTCACTCATTTGCCTCCTGCAAACAAAACATGACAGGATTTCGACTAACAGTGGTTACAACTTGCTACAAATACCAGCTGCTTTTTAAGGTAAAGAAGTGGCAAAGAGCCAGGCAATTTCTTCAGCTTTTCTTCTTGCTCAGATTCACACACAGAGGACAGTGAAGCTGCTGCCCACACCCAACTACCAGGCTGTCCTTGGGCAGCTGCCTGCTCAGTAGGACCCATGTCAACTCACATTCACAATTCTAGAGTTTTGGTGAGTGAATTGAAGAAGCAGAAGCCAAACTTGGTTTCAAGGTCATGAACTGGTTTGATAGCACCACACTGTAATACTGTCAGCGTGTTGTATCACTGTGACAATACAAGAGTATGATCAGCTCAGAAAAATGTTCTGTGCACTGCCGGTGCTGTATGTTTTAAATGGAAGTTTTTAACTACAGCTGGCCATGTAACAGTGCAACACTGATATGAAGATGTTCAAGCACATAGCTCAGTTGTGTTCTCTTTCAGAGGAGATTTAATGAAATTTGGCAGAAAAAACCTGATCCTCCAACTATTCATAGGCTTCTGCCCCAATTTACTGTAGGAAGAAAAGTACGAGATATGGGTACTACAGGAATGATACAAGATTAAGTAATTACTTTGAGAGATTTCTATCCTTTGCTACATGTAGCCCCTGCTACCACTGAGTGGGAGCAGACTTGTCAACATCATTAGCTGCAGTAGTAGGCTTTCATTAAGCAAAACATAAGTAATTAAGATTTTCTATAGTGCTGGAAGGATATAGCAAAAGCAACATTCATCCAAATCACACAGACATACTCTGTTCAAGACAAGGCACATATTGGTACTATTGTGTATTGCTGTTGCAGAAAAAATTAAAAAAAAGGTCAAGCGGAGAGAAACAACTGAAAAATACCACGGAGGCAAAGAGAGAGCAAGAAGCCAAGGACAAGCCTGAACAACTACTGGGTTTGTGACCCTGAATCAATGGAGGAGAGAAGGGGATTTCAAGTAATGAACCAAGCAATTGCTGCCCATCATTTGATTCTTGCTCTGTTCAGGAAGGGACCACGTGCAGCTTTTGTGCCTGAGCCACACTGGATCAGAGAGACATTTGGCTCATGCTTGGATACTTTTGATGTTACAGAAAGGTTAGCTGGATTTCTACACTGATCTTAAGTGGGTAGGTGAACACAGAAGTAAATCCAAAAGCCCCAGAAGAAGGCTGCTTTTATGGTATGGTAAAGGTTCTGTCAATTTTAAATAATGTTCTCTAGATTATGCAGTGCTCTTGCTGCCTTTAAATGGCTCATGGAGAATGTACTGTATGGCATGTGCCTCTTTCAGACTGTTTGTCCTAGACGGATAACAAATCTGGTACATGCTAAATCTTTCGGTCAGGAACTAGTGCATTTACAAATGGTCTGTGATAAGCTTAAGAATGCCAATTTGAAACTGAATCCAAAGAAATGTGAACTGTTTTAAAAAGAGATAATTTTCCCTCGGTCATTCGATCAGCGAGGAAGGAATTTCCACTGATAAAGCCAAGTGAGGGAGTGCAGAACTGGCTGGCCCCTTAGATCCACACAGCTTTTTGAGGCTCTGCTATTCCTATTGTACCACAGCAAAAGCTATTGCATGCAGTGAGGTAGAGAAATGCTTTGAGTAATCAAAGTGCAATGTGGTGGAGTTAAAGAGGGGCCACTTATGACTGTTGCAGTGTTGCCTTACACTAGCTCTGCAAATCCTCATATCAGCCACAGCTGTGTGTCCTATAGAGCCTGAGCCCGTGGGCCCCAGGAGGCTGTAAACCTGATAGGCGCATGAAAATGCTTTATCTTGATGATTCAGGTAAAGAAACAACTGAAAACATTGTATTACTGCACAGAACAAAAAATAAATAGCACCAATGCAAATACCAAGGCATCTACAACTCCCCAGATGAGTCAGTTTCTAAAACAGCAGTTAAGATCACCACAAAGCACGCAGACATAAAAAAAAAAAATTACCATATACATATGGTATGTGTCACTGTTGAAATAGGGCATGAATAGGAAGTATTCCTCCAGTCTTCTCACAATGACCAGTGCCATTTCTTGGCTGCCATCACTTTGGGTGATGGCATCTTCCAGCAGATTTTGGGACTTAAGGTGAGAGAGAAAAAGCTAGCTTGTGATGGGCACAGAAGAGACTAGCTAAACAGGGTCAGAAGGGTAGGACCTCATCCCATTGCTATCAGCAGCAATACAGTAGTGCCAGATTAAAACTTCATCTTGTGTTACATGTAACCAATTATGAACATTAGTCAAACAAGGTTGTGTTTACTTTCCCAAGTGTTTAGGCAGAAGCCAGCTGACCTGGAGGTATTCCAACTTCACATCCACATCTATGGCAGGTGAATGTATGCCTCTGTGTGAAAAACTGATGCAGAAAGATATAACTGTATGACACTAAGGAAATGTTCTCCAGCTCACAAGTACTACGGTGGCTCATATGGCTGCCCGGATATCTGAACTTTTCCAAGATGCACTTCAGTAAAAAACCACAAATCTATTTATAAAAGCATCTGAAATGTATTTGGTTCAAATAAGTCTGAGAGTTTCTGGCTTCCCAGCGTATATTGTAAAGAGTTGTGAGGGAAGAGCAAATCCTGAAAAACATGACTATGACATAGTATCTGAGAGACACCATTCTTAAGTAGCATTCACTAGTTGTTTCAGTAATCCCTCACCCGCAGAAAACCTTTCCATATCAGCCCTCTCTTCTTCACAAATTGATGCCCAGAGATTACTGTCAAGCAGATATCTGCTTGCTAGTGGCTTAATGATGCTGAAGCAATGTGTACGGATGATCTCAAGAACCAGGCAGTCAGGGAAAAGAAAAGATCCAGGCATGAGAGAGGATTGGAGCCTAACTCTTCAAGAGGAAGGATGGGGATACAGGGTCATTATTCTTGGTAAGAATCAAAAGTTAATTTGAAATAGATGTTGCAGCTACATATGTGATATCCACCATACAACCTTCATCCTAGCTTAAACCATCAATGTCAGTTTTCCTTTGGAGATGGATGAAATGGCCAGGTGACCTCTAAATATCCTTTCCAGCACTTTCGAATTTTTTTAATTGTTTGCAGTGAACAAGAGACTGGTCACTGATACAGTTTCTTCCAAGGACTGCAAGGCTGAGCACAGATCATGAGGTTCTGCCATTCCAGAGTTCCCATTCTGTATTGCCTGCTGTCAAATACATTCACATGCAGGTCAGCGAAGAAACCTCTCCAGCCAGGAACTGCATGCTACAGATCTCATACCTCTAGCAGGTCTACAGCTTGTGGGTATTTCTGGGGAGCCTGAAACCAAACAACTGCAGGATGCTCTCTGGAGGGTAGTCAACGTAGCTATTAGCCAGACCAAAAGTTGCACAATGTTATGGCAAAAAAGGTGTTAAGTGGTAGGTCAAGTTCTTATGAGGCAAAAGAGTTGCTGTGGCAGTCTAAGCAGCAGATTTTCCAGGTGTCTGGTGGGCAGCCAAAAACTGATTTGATTCATTTATTTTAGCAAATAATCACTTTCAACAAGCTGAAATTACAGCCCACCCAGGTTTGTTAAGCAACTTCAGCTAGAGAAAACTCTATGGACCTGAAGTTACAAAATTGCTGATGAAAAGTCTTCACCCCCCACCCTTTTTCTTGGGCTGGAGCGCTTGC